CCCCCTAACATCTGCAAATGCCAAGCACGAACGAAAACCGAAAGAACACCGACCCCCTGCTCAACACCGCGCACAACCACAAACCATCCCGCAGTGAGCAGCGTTAGACCGCTCAGCGGGAGACTGTGCACTACAGTACATCGCATAGTACTGTACTCACAGAATACCGCTTTGTAATTGTGCTGTATAATGCAGCCCAATATCATCGCTTCGAGAAGATGCATGCCCGAGGCGGGAGTGCGGGAAGGGGAAGGGGCGGAAACAGCGGGTGGAGGGGGTGGGGCAAGGGCAGGGAAATTTGACGGGGTACTTCAAAGTTTGGTGCAAAAAAAAATGCATGATCGCACCGGCTCGCCTGGTGCGTTCCAGCCTGGGTTCTTAATTCAAATCCTTACGTTTCATATTTGTATTATATTATTTTGGCTGACATATTGCTTTTCTACTATCCTTTATGTCAGGAGTTACATTAGTTTCGCTGCATATTCGGTTGTTTTTATGCGTTTTGTGCTGTAAGCGGGCTACACAGATATGGTCATCCCCTTTTTATATGTGTGTGTGCTGCAAGAATTACGCCCAGTAATTAAATAAAATGCGATGTTGCTTAATAATGATAAAGACAAGGTAGCGTAAACTATTTTGAGCGTCATCAGAAAATTTAGCTACAAACTTAACCTACCAATGAAATACAAGAGCGCGTGCCCCAGGGGGTCTCGGAGAGAATTTTATGCATACCACAGGTGACCCTCGTACTTCCTTGACTTGGCCGGCAAAGGTATCTTTGATGGGTCCCTTTGGCGGCTTAAAAATTTTCTTATGATTAACTAAATCTGATGTTACAAGACTAATCAGAATTCGCCCCATTTCGAAACAATGTTATAAAAAGTAGTGAAATCATAAAATGCCAATGCTTTTGTTATTTCGCAATTACTTCATATCCACTGTGACGTTCAATTGTTTGCTGACGTTACGCACATTAACTACTTTTTTTCTATCATTGTGAAACAAGCCTAAAGACTAGCGCCAAACTATCCTAATGTACATCCTTACCCCACGACGTGCACCTGTCCCCACCAATCGCTTCGGCCCTTCCTCACGTAAAAATTGGCGCTCAGACGAGGTCGAAGGACAACACACTGGTCTGACCCATGCCTTTTGAGGCGCAATAACTCACTGCTTAGCCCAAAAGCTATGCGTTTCACTCAAAAGTGGTTTGTGAATTGTAAGCTGAGCAGTGCAATGTTTCGGTCTTTAGCAATCGAGCAAGATATGTCCAATCATACATACGATTCGAGGCTGTGCACCGCACTAGACGAGTAACGCGACCAGTGTAAGAGCCCTAGGCCTGAATTCAGGCTAGCTGACCGCCTGCAGTTTAAGTTTTCTCAGCGGTATACATGATCCCATGATCCCCTGCGCGATCCATGAAGAGACCTATACGTTGCGATCTTTTTACTTGTAAAATCAAGACAGCATCTTCTACCTTCCCAGTATTTCTAGAAAGCATTTGGACGCTCAACTTCTCCAGTCCCCGTCTTACTTTATGATCTACGCCAGCTGCTTGCTCTCCTAGAAGATGCTACCTCAGAGTCCTTCTTGGTCATTTGGGCTTTAATACGAATGGACCCACCTGTTGACGATGAAGGAAGATTGCCGCTGAGCCGTGCTGCGATGAACAGTCTGATGGGGATTCTGTAGTCGCCCTAGTCCCACTTCGCATGGTAAACTCATAAATCTATGATGACAGCTTATTTGCTGGTACTTATGGTGTCGACAACAACTCTGCAAGACTTCTAGCGGATGCGTCTAACGAATACCTCAAGCTGTTTACAAAAAGCTCGAGAAGGAGCGCTGGGGAGCGAGCGATTCATGTCTCCTCTCGTAATATTTAAATATATTTTTATTTGATTCTCATAGCTTTTTTGAAATACAATGCCCCCTAGGATGAGAGATGGTTTACGCGACTGTAGCTGCGCCTGTTTATTTATATCACTATTAATGCAATATCTCAGAAATTTACTATTTTTTTGTTACGTTATTTGGCTCTACGAGGGAAGTGCCCTAACATTAATAATAATGGTGCTAATAATAGAAGATATCTGAAAAAAAAAATAAAATCTGATTTAAAAAAAAAAAAAACGAAAATATAATAGGATCTGAAGACGGCAAGTTTACTGGAAGAGGTTTAAAAAACCATGTTTCAGCAAACAGTGATGATAAAGATGGGGGAGACATATGCTCATGTATACATGGTGGTCAGGAGGCTGTACAGATGATTCCCACTTATACCCGTATGCTGTATTCAATCTGTTTTTTTACAGCTAAAGGATGAAACACAGATATCTTTTTTGCATATGGTATTTCGACTAATCCGTTATCTCTGATTCAAACATTTTTATATTAGGATTGCCTACAAGCTGAAGTTTTTTCAAAATTTTAAGATCACCGGGATTTTTTAAAAATTTGTCCAGCCAAACAAATGGAAAAGTAGGTCGAATAGGCAAGAGCCAGTAAAACTAGGAAGCTGCGATTTTAGGGCAATATTCCATGTTCACGTGCAATTCCAGATATTTCAATACAGCTTTCGCATACGT